GAGGTCTCTCCTTCGAGCCCAACGGCAAGCGCAAGAACGGGCCCGCGTACCACCCGATCTGTTGGAAGATTACGATTCACTACATCTATCAGGGAGTACTTTGGATCTTGAGTCCCAGGTCTCTTTTCACATACCTACAGACCTGTGGGAAGAGCAGCCCTCCAAGGAGGGGCTCAGCTCCCAATGTTGCAGCGTGGTCAATTCTGAGTTGTTGGGTCAGATCAACGTGCTCGGCCTTGGTGCCGTCACCAGGCAGTACGCGCGGTGGTCTGCTGGAGTGGAGCGTGCCTTCGCACTTCATCATCAGCTTGACCCTCGACTGCGAGTTCCACGCGCAGCTGGATTTTCTTTGCGATGGATGCAGGCCAAAGCTACTCCAGGGCGAGTGCACATGACTGATGGAGCTGGAGAATGGTGGGGAACAGTACTCACCTTGGTCCAAAGAATCATGGCTCTCCTACGCCATGGCAAGGATCCTCGCCAGCTAGCGATTTGTACCTCAGCCCTTGGTCGCTACACCAACGACGCCAACAGCTTCGAGCCATCCGACTTCTTCGGTCCAGGTTCAGAGGGCGCCGCTAATCAGCAGCGGTGGATTTCTTGGTCTCGCGCCTTCGCGAGCGCCACCGAGCTGGAGCGCGACGACTTCGCCTACTTCACCGAGAAGCTGGCCTGCCGTTCGCAGGCAAGATGCTTGACCTTGAGGCGGCATTCCTTCATCCGCTGGGCCAAGGAGGTTTGGAAATCTAAGCCGGGCCTGCTCCGCTCACTGGTGAAGGAACCCAAGGCGGTCTCAGCTGACCCCTTAGTGGATGGGCGCGTCGTTGGAGACCCATTTGTTAGAATGGAACACACCAGTTCCACCTGGGAAAGACTCTGGCACGACCCAGTCGACTCTCAGTCCGACATCCTCGCCATGTTCAAGCGCCTGCACACGCAGAGCCGCGAGGAGGAGTTAGATCCTGTTAGTGTCGACCAGGTGGACAAGGTTCTCAAGATTCTTGGCACCAAGGCCTGCGGAGTTGACTCCATCACACCTCTGGACCTCCAACGGCTCCCACTTGAAGGTCGGTGTGATTACTGCAGGCTTCTCAACAGCATTGAAGAACATGGAGTTTGGCCTGCTCAGATCCTGGCATCTATTGGAGCATTATTACCTAAACCCAAAGGGGCAGAAAGGGTCATTGGCCTACTTCCAGAGACGGCGAAGGTTTGGTCCCGCGTGAGAGCAGGCGTTACGTCTACCTGGACTAAGGAGCTCTCTGACTTCTGGGACACTGCAGTGGCGGGCAGCAGCTCGCTTCGAGCGGGGCTCTTGCGAGCGCTGCTCGATGAGTCCGCAGTGGCTCTCGGCATCTCGGCGGCTACCCTGCTCTTGGACTTCGAGAAGTTCTACGACTCGTTATCCTGGGTCCTCATTGGCCAAGCTGCACTCGATCTCAAGTTCCCAGCGATTGTGGTTCTGCTGGAGCTGGAGATGTGCGCTGGGCCTCGGTTCTTGCGGGGCTCTCTTGGCGTTGCTGATGCCATCTTCGCCACCAGATCTCTTGTTGCAGGCTCCCCACAGGGGGTAAGGATTGCCAAATTGTTTTTACATCCATTGATGGAGGCGGCACATCGCAGAGCGAGCTTCAGCACTTTCTGGACCTTCATTGACGACACGGTTGCCCGCTCAGAAGGCACGCAAGCCAAGGTCCAAACCGAGATCCTCCACGCTACGGCCACTCTTGCCGACCTCGCCACTCAATTCCGACTTACGCTTTCGGACAAGTCAGTCCTCATTGCCACCGTCCCTCAGGATGGGAGGAGGACGGCCGCTCAGTTGCAGAAGCGAGGCATCCCTGTGCGGTACGGCCTGCACGGCGCGGACCTTGGCATCGATGCGGCGTCTGGCAAGCGGCGCACAGTCATTAAGGCCAGAATGAGGTTGACCGCCAGCAAGAGGAGGGCAGCTCGTATTGCCCGTCTACGCAGACATGCCCCTCTTCGACGAGAAGCTCAAGGTCTCTGGACCACAGGCGCAGCTCCTCGAGGCTCTTACGGGCACCAGGCCCATGGCATGTCGCCGTCCAACGTCCTCGCCGTCAGGCGGCAGGCAGCCTCGGCTGGAGCTGGGCCCATGAAGGGCAGGTGTCTTACGACCACTCTGGCGGTTCTTTACGGCCCCAAGGACCCTGCCCTGGAGCTGCGTCGAGGCCTTCTTTCAGAATTTCTCTGTCTCTGGAAGACCGACACCAGCATTCACCACCGAGTTGAAAACGCTTGGACGGTCATTCATCGGCGGCTTCTCGCAGCTGGCGCCAGCAGAAGATGGAGATTGGTCAAAGGACCCATTGGAGCTGTTATTGCGACCCTGCTTGACGCGGGATGGGAAGCACCCTCGGTCCTCCGTTGGAGGAGGCCCACTGATGGAGGAATCGAGGAGTGGCAGATTCCAACCGCACGTCGTTCAGGCTATGACCCCACTGGGTTCGACATCTCCGAGCTGCTGGACGACGTGGCCACTGATTTTCGCGCTCAACTTTGGCGCAATGCATCGGCGCATGTTGCAGGGGACTGCCTGGCTGAAGGAGCTGACCTTTATTGGCCCAGACTGGAGCTCAGTCGCTACGCCAAGAGGGGGGAGCTCGACCTGTTCGGCCTCAACTTGCGCGTGGTCACGGGCGCCCAGTGGACGATGGACAGGCAGCGCCCACTGAGCGAGCCCTCAGACCGCCTGTGCCCGCGGTGCCAGCAGGAGGAAGAAACTCTTGCGCGCCGCATTTGGCGATGCCCCTGCAACAAAGACCACAGTGATTTCACGTCTACTGATCATTTGACTCCCCAAGCGTTAGCCTCTGCTGAATCTGAACCAAGCCTTTGGCTGCGAGGTGTTCCGCCAACCCGTGTCACCCACCCTGTTTTCAGGGAGCCGTCGGAGAGCCTGAGCAGAGCCCAATTAGGTGAGGTCCCGCTTGGGGCTTGCTCTAGAGACCCTGGCAGTAGCCCGCTGATCGGCTTCGGGGACGGTTCTGGAGGACGCTTTTCGTCCGACCCTCGTCGCCGTCGGTGTGGCTCCGCCGTCGTTGTGGTCAGGGACGCGCGACCTGGGGAAGGACCTTTGCGTTGGGCCGTCTTGGGGGGCATCTCTGAGATTTTGCGAGGCCCTTCGCAAACTGTGCCCAGGTCGGAGCTGCAGGCTTTCGCTCTCTTCTTGGAAGGCACCTCAGGTCCCGTCCATTTTGTGACCGACCACAAGCCACTTATGACGGGTTGGAGTCGGGGTCGGCCCTGGAGCCTGGGAGGGAGGAACAGCGATTTGTGGTTGCGAATTCGATGCGCCATCGATGACCGAGGCCCTGGGCACGTTTCGGTCGAATGGACGCCCTCGCACCTCTCTCCTGACGACCCCTCCCTCACCTATCACGAAGTTTTTCTAGCCAGCGGTAACCAGTTAGCTGACGAAGCGGCATCCGAGGCCGCCGAGCGTTCCTGGACCCTGGCCGCCCAGTCTGCTCCTGCCACCGACGCTTGGGACCTCACAGCTGCCTTGGTGCGTCGACGAGCACGGCGGGCTCTGGCGGAAGCTTCTTCGGCGGATCCCAAGCGGTCCAAGGCTTCGACGGATGTCGATCGCCCGACCCCGAAGACCGCCGAGACCCGCCGCCTCGAGCACGCAGCGAGGGCCAGCGCGCATAGGTTTATTCCTGTTGGGTCCCGTTTCAGGTGCCAACGGTGCTCTGTTCTTTCGTCCCGACAGGGCCTCTTAGAGGCCCTGAAGACGGAGTGCTTTTCGCCGCAGGCCGTCCCTCCTGGTTTTCCTCGGGATGTTGTGGCCGCGGCTCGTGGCGGCGTTTCCGTCGGTGGGCAGGAGCGCGACCCATCCCACCGTCTGGGATTCTGGGACTTGCATTCCTTGCAATTTTGCTTCCGATGCGGTCGGACCGCGACCGTTGACGGTCGCCAATTGGCCGACGAGTGCGAGCCCCCCACTCGTAAAGGTCGCGAGAACCTCGGCCGAATTAAACGCGGGCTGTTTCCGAGCTATGCGGGGCCTTCGAAGGCTTCGCGAGCGATTTCGCATGCGAGGATTGTGGACGCATGCGTCGCCAGGGAGACAGCACAGCGTGCCAGGAGGGCAAGCCCTGTACCCTCCCACGTTCCTTCCTCCCCTTGTGGGGAGGAGGAGGCGCTGGGGGTGGCTGCTACGGAGTAGCCACCACGGGTGCAGGTGCTTGGCCTCCTTTCCTCTGTTTTCCCCTCCCCTTTTTAGCACGCTGTGCTGCGCAAAAGGTCCAAAAGGTCCTCCTCGTCCTCCTCCCCCTCCTCCTCCCTCCTCCCCCTCCTCCTCCTCCTCCTCCTCCTCCTCCTCCTCCTCCTCCTCCTCCTCCTCCTCCTCCTCCTCCTCCTCCCCCTCCCCCTCCTCCTCCTCCCTCCGCCAAGCCCACCGCCTCCAGGCCCCGGCGGGCTTCTCAGAGGGTCCCTTCTGCATGCCCTGTGGCCTTCTCAGGAGTCTCCCGTTCTATTCCCGAGAAGGCTCCCTGCCTTGCAGTCAAGGCGCCGACAGGAGGACCACCTGGGGCTCGGGAGGGGTTCTGGTGTTCGGACCGCTCCTCGGATCCAGGTCGGGAACCTCGTCGTGGCCCGCGCTGGCCGTGGCCAGAGGAGCACCTTCGTTCCCTATTCAGCGTTCCACGCGGTAGCACGGCGATGATCGGAGACCGTTCTTAGACGTGCCTTCCTGTGACGGCCGAGAGACGAAGCCATCCAGGTCTGAGGACCAGCTGGGCTCGTGGATGCTCGGCCGTGGTGGAGGCTCGCCGTGCGAAAGAGTCGTGACGAAGGTTTTTGGTAGTTTTCACCCCCTGGGGGCCCTCGTCAGGCCTTGGGACCGTCAAAGTCGGCTCCATCGTTACGACACACCAGGCACAGGGAAAGGGCTGGGATTTCTGCGGACCTCGTATTGAGCACACCAAGTCGCCGGATGCCTGGGGATAGCTATACTTCCACGCTCGCGTCAGGCATTTATCGACTACCGCCCGGTCTCCAGGTTCAACAACTTCGAGAATTTCTCCCGGTCCACGCGGGAGGGCGGCGTGCACAGCTTCCCCGCGGGCGACGCCAGAGCGCTGCCGGCCCTCATCGACCAGTTCGACTGGGCGATCGTCAACAAGCGGTTCGAGCACTTCCGGGCCGCCGACCCCCAGAGCGTCTGGCTCACCCCGAAGCCCGGTAACCTCGAGTTCCTCCTCGAGGCGTGGGCGCCGCGTAATGCGGGGGGGGGGGGGGCGCTATACGAGTGGGGGGGGGCAGCGGGGGCTGCAGCAAAGGGGCCCTTGAGGGCCCCCAGAGGGGCCCCTCCGGGCCCACAGGGGGCCTCCAGTGCCCGAAAAGTGTGCCCTTCCGACCCCCCCCCCAATTGTCAGGAGCGAAAGAAGGACCTACATGTACATGAATCCACGCTGGTTTCGAGAGTACGCATTGCGCAAATGTTCGTATAACGCGGCCGGTCTCGCGGATCGAGGGGCCGTGTTCATGTACATAGTTGGGCGCGTACGTCCTTTGTGGGCTCCCTAAATTGAGCGCTGCCCGAGAGGCCGCAGAGAGCATCCGCCCGCGCCCGCGCGCCGCCTCCGCCGAAGCCCCGGCGGCCCCGCGGCGGCGCCCTGCGCGCCTGGCGCCCCCTCTGGCCTCGCCCTCCGCCGCCGCCGCCGCGGAGCGGCGGTGGCGACAGGCGCAGCAGCGCCGCTCGCCCGCCCGAGGGTCGCCGATCGACTGCGCGCGGGAGCGGCCCCGCGCCGGAGGGACCTCCGGGTGTGGGCTCATCGGCCCCCCCCCTCGAGCGCGGAGCGCGGTGCGGCGGCAGCGGCCTGCGCGCGTGGGTTGGCCCCCTCGCGCCCCCCCCAGAAGCCGCGCACCGAGGGTCACTCTTACCTCCTCCTCCTCCTCCTTTTCCTCCTCCTCCTCCTCCTCCTCCTCCTCCTCCTCCTCCTCTCCTCCTCCTCATCCTCCTGCGCCTCCTCCTCCTCCTCCTCTCTCCTCCGCGCCTCCTCCTCCTCCTCCTCCTCCTTCCTCGACTCCTCCTCCCTCCTCCTCCCTCCTCCTGCCTCCTCCTCCTTCGTCCTCCCTCCTCCTTCCTCCTCCTTCCTCCTCCTCCTCCTTGTCCTCCTTCGCCCCCCAAAAGCCGCGCATCCAGGGTCACTCTCACCCAGGGTCACTCTTTGCGCCTCGCCGAGTCGATTTGGCTTTGGTGCTTTTGGCCAGCCTGCTTCAATCCGCTCGTTTTTTGGGGGCCGCCAGGCGTGTCGGCACAGTGTCTGCTGAGATGCGTCGTCGATCTGTTCTCACCAGTGCGCTGAGCTCCGCCCAAGCTGCTGGCGCCGCCAGTGACTGCCAGTGTCGACGTCCTTCGGAGGTGTGAGTTGTCTGGGGCCCGCGCGAGGCTCCGTCTCTGCAACCCCGCTCTGCTTCGGGAGAGTGGGCGCCAGGATCCCATGTCGGACCTCTTCCTCCAAAGCTGGACTGGCTCCCTGCTCGCCCCATACAGTACCTTCTCGTCGCGCGGAGGTCCGCCGATACTTTGTCAGACCTAGGAGGGCGTACCCCAGAGGGCAGGCCCCCAGCCAACTTACGCGGTCGGAGGGAATCTGTACGTACACCACGTCGTTCGGCTGGCCAGCCAGGGAGCGGGCGAATTCGGCCAAGGATTCCGGTGTATAGATAGATATATGCATATATATATATATATATATATATATATATATATATATATATGTATTTGTGCATGTATGTACGTATATATATATATATACACATATATATATATATATATATAGTGCATTGGCGCTCCGGCATCCCGCCGCTTGGGACGGCGTCGCTGAGATACACCGAACTCCATGGCCTAGGGCCGACTTAGTCCGTCGTGGGCCAAGTCGCCTGGTCGGAGACCAGACGACCTGCTGTGTATGCAGTCGGACCGAGGTGTAAGATCGATATCGAGTCGGGGAGGGTCACCTAATGTTCTTCGTGTATGTTGGATGTTCTTTTGCATCTTGGGGGAGGGTACCCTCGAATGATCTAAGGTTTTGGGATGCTTTGGCTGGAAGGATGTTTTTCTGTCCTACGTCCGACTGTACTTCGAGCCCCTCCCAGACGTTGTCACCGCCGTCGTCGATGCCGCCCCAGACATCCAATGTCGCTCCGTACTCGTCGCTCCGTACTCGCCGATTTTCGTCCCGGATAGTTTTGTTGATGGCCCCAAGGCCCAAGGAGGGTTGGGAGACCGAAATCGGCCGAAACAATATGTCGTGTTTTTTTTTCCACGATGCGAGCAGATCTGGCTTGCGGGTCATAACTTGATCTCGGGTCTCCGGCGGCCGTCCGAGATGCGCCGGGCACCCCCGGAACGCCCTCGGCGCGGCGCAGCTGCAGGAAAGGTCCCGAGTCTGGAAAACCGCTTGGAAATCAACCGGAAACTTCGAACCTCGACCCTCGAACCGACCTGTTCTGTATTTCGAGCCCCTCCCAGGAGGAGGAGAAAGAGGAGGAGAAGGAGGAGGAGAAGGAGGAGGAAGAGGAGGAGGAGGAGGGAAGGGCAAGGGGAGGGGGAGGGGGAGGGGGAAGGGGGAGGGGGAGGAGGAGGAGAGGAGGAGGAGGAGGAGGAGGAGGAGGAGGAGGAGGGAGGAGGAGGAGGAGAGGGAGGAGGAGGAGGAGGGAGGAGGAGGAGAGGAGGAGAGGAGGAGGAGGAGGAGGAGGAGGAGGAGAGGAGGAGGAGGAGGAGGAGAGGAGGAGGAGGAGGAGGAGGAGGAGGAGGAGGAGGAGGAGGAGGGAGGAGGAGGAGGAGGAGGAGGAGGAAGGAGGAGGAGGAGAGGAGAGGAGGAGGAGGAGGAGGAGGAGGAGGAGGAGGCCTCCCAGTCGTTGTCGCCGCCGTCGCCGCCATTTGCTGCCTCCGCCCCTGCGCCCCGATCGGGGCAGAGCGGGCGTTCGACCCCTCCCGGGCCGACCGGGTGCTGGTCGTCGGCAACGAGGACGTGTGGCTCTCGGAGGCCCTCGGCGGCGTGCGCGGGAGCCGCGCGGGGCATCGCTCTAAGAGGAACCAGGTCCTCGGGGCACGGGGCTCGAGCTATGTTCGCGGGCTTGGGCTTTTCCTGGGGCCACCCACGGGCCCCAGGATTTGTCACGAACAGACGATTTTGATCAAATTTGCAAACCCAGACGAAGCTGTTCCGATTGTAATCCTCATCAGAAGATGCTCACACATCCTCCCGCGGGCAGGGTCGCCCACAATTTTTTTTATCCCGCCCAACAATACAAAGGGAAACGGATCCCCGCCACGACGAGGAGTTTTTGGGACCAGTTTTACTCACCGCCGAGAGATCAGGGGCGGGGGGGGGGAAAAACGCTCTAAGGTTACTTCTGGGGCCTTCATCTGGGCTTGTTCCCAGACTGTTGCAGTGCAGCTAGATGTCGTGCCGCCGTCTGGAAAACTGGTTCCGAGGGGGATTGCTCGTCCTAGTGTAGCATGTCCAGGATTACGGGGCCTTGAAGAGAGAGAGAGAGAGAGAGAGAGAGAGAGAGCGAAAGAGACAGAGCGAGAGAGAGGCAAGGGGGGAAGGAGGCAGACGACGACGCACGCGCAGCCAGGAGGCCAGGGTCGTTCGAGACTGAACGGCCAGCGCTGGTTCCTAGGCTGGGCCCCGCGTAGAACTGGGCAGGGGCCTGCCGTTGGTCCCGTCGGGCCCCGGCAGGCTCACAGGGTACAGTGCGGGCCAGGTCACAGTCAACACCCCGATTGATGACCGCGGAGGTTGCTGAGGGAATCGGGGGGTTCAGGCGGATGCCATGTTTGTTTATATTTGGCCCAACCTGGCTTATGCGTGCGTTACAGGTGCCGCAAGTGGCATAGGTGAGTAAGATAGATCCACTAAGTGGCGGAGAACACTCAGCCCACATCGCTAACCCACCTAAGCATTTCGGGCACTTGCAAGCCATTCGCAAGCCAGGTTGGGCTAGATATAACCACCCCAGCAGCCGCTTATAACCCCTTTGTAACATGAGCAACCCCTGCGGTCATCCAAGGAGCACCCTCTTGGAGGCTGCGCTGGGTGTTGAACAACTCTGCCTGCATGACTTCGAGCCTCTGGTCGTCTGCGGGAGCCGAGCTGCCCTGACATCCTCCGATTCGTGTTCCAATCCGCGGCCCCGGAGGTCCCGACCCTTTCCCTGGAGGGTGCTGCGCCCGGGATCCGCTTCTGAAGGTCCCGGGGCCCGATAACAGTCCCCCGAGGACGAAATCAAGGGACTTCGCCCGGATTGGAAAAACGGAAACCTGCTGGAACCGAGCTAGCTTTCCCACGGGCGCCCAGGCCTGAGGAGCAGAGGCTGGCCTCCGCGTTGTACAGGTAAGGGACCTGCCGTTGTTCCCGGTGAGCCTCGGCAGGCCCACAGGGTACAGTGCGGGGCTGAGGCCTGGTCAGCCCCCCCCTTTGTAGGCTGCGCCGGGTGCTAAGCAGCTCCGCTTGCATGTTCTCGCGCCTTCGTGCGTCTGCGGGAGCCGAGCTGATTCGTTCATGGCGCCCAGGAGGAGGAGGAGGAGGAGGAGGAGGAGGAGGAGGAGGGGAGGAGGAGGAGGAGGAGGAGGAAGGAGGAGGAGGGGGAGGGGGGAGGGGGGGGAGGGGGAGGAGGAGGAGGAGGAGGAGGAGGAGGAGGAGGAGGAGGAGAGGAGGAGGAGGAGGAGGAGGAGGAGGAGGAGGCGGAGGAGGAGGAGGAGGAGGTAGGAGGAGGAGGAGGAGAGGCTCGAGGGTCCCGAGGGTGCTACGTGCGCGCGGCCCGAGGCCGGCCCCTGCCGCCCAGCGTTCCCTGCCAGGAGCGGCGTCGACGACCCGGAGGGCTACGCGCGCCAGCGCGACCTGGCGCGACCGCGGACACTCGGGCCCCTCGTCTGCTCGTGGGGGAGGAGGGAGGAGGAGGAGGAGGAGGAGGAGGAGGAGGACGACGACGACGAGGAGGAGGACGAGGAGGAGAAGGAGGAGGAGGAGGAGGAGGAGGAGAAGGAGGAGGACGACGAGGAGGAGGACGACGAGGAGGACGACGAGGAGGAGGAGGAGGAGGAGGAGGGGGAAGAAGAGGAGCAGGGGCAGGAGGAGGAGGATCACCAGTGTCAGCCCGGGAATCGTCAACGATATTGCAATACACCCTTCCTCCAAGTTCCCTCTTCATAGGCTCCTGCACGCATCTTTCTTTCACTGAGGGGAATTCCCCGTTGGAAGACAACCGTTTTAAACTCTGGAGCTGTGCCTGAACATCGCCCGCCACACTTTACAAAAAGGGCCGCCCTCCTTCTGTGACCCTGTGGAACAATTTAGAACGAATGTGCTCGGCGCCAAGGCGAGGGCCACCTTTAAAGACTCCTATAACTGTTTAACACGAGTGTCCGCTGCGCTAAGGCGACAGCCACATTTTGAAAGTGTTCCGCCCTCCATCCGTGAATCTCTTGCTAGATCAAGCTTCTGGATCATAAATGGTGGAGAAGTCTCAAGCGAAATGCCCGACCTGCCCTTTGGACTGGCCTCGGATTGCGACAGGGAGGAGTTGTTCAAAAGGATAAGGAGTGGATCGGCCGGGGGAGGGAGCGGAGGAGGAGGAGGAGGAGGAGGAGGAGGAGGAGATGCAGGGTGGGGAGGAGGAAGAGTACTGGTACTCCGCGGGCCCGATCCCGCCCTGGGTGGCACGTGAACCGCCCCAGCACAGCACGGATCGAGCGACAGAGGAGAGGAAGGGGGGAAGACGAGAGCGCCCGCCAGCTCAGCCACTGGCGCGGGCGCGATGGCTCTCGGGGTCGGCGGGGGGGGGCCCCGACCCCGTGCCATCCCCAGGGCACACGGGCAAACCTCAAGCGCCTTGCGGCAGGCCCGCGGGGACAGCCCCGACACAACACCTGCAGCTGACACGGACCCCTCGGAGTGCTGACTGGGCTCTGGGCCCCGACCCAAGAGAGGAGCACTCTTCTGACCGGCCTGCCCGCTCGCTCGTGCGTCTCCACCACCCCCGAAGGCGGGGAGCGCTGGGATGGAGGTCCCCGACGACGCGGATCTCCTCCTCCTCCTCCTCCTCCTCCTGGCCCCGAGCTTCCTCTTCCTGGAGCCGCTCTCCTCGTGAGCTAACAGGCACACGCCCCCAGCAGAAACGCTCGTGGAGGCTGTGCTTCTGCATCTCACCTCTGGCCTTTGGCAAAATGCCTTGAGCCATCTTGCTGAGCGACTGTCTTCCATCCAGTCGGGACGCTGAAGAAGGAACCCTTCTCGTTGGGGAGGAGCTCCATGTTCCTTCATTGTTCCACAGCGCGCCTCAGGTTTTCCTGAGACCTTCGATGGGACATCAAGTTTAATTAACGGACAAACGGGGCCTCGTTCCTTGTGTAGGGTTCCTTAGGTCAACGGCCCGACTGTAGTGTCCCAGAACGCCTGTGCACTGGTCGGCCAGACCTCTTCGGAGAGGCGCGCCTGCACAGCCGCAACTACTGCAGTCATCGAGCTTGCAGTCCGCGGAGTAGCCCAGCAAGGGGGAGCAATGGACCAGGCCAGTCCACTTCGCCCATTCTTTGAATCCATCCTGTCACAATGCCACCCAAGGCGGTGTCTTCGAGAAAGGTTCCAGCTTCCGCCAAGCTGGCACTACGTCTGCACTAAAGGCAGTAGAAAGCGAATCTCACCCCAATGAATGCCGCATGCTCTGACATGTGTAACCATCTTGGATATGGTAGTGGACCGAGTGCGTCGCAGACGTTTTGGGCTCCTCCCCAGAGGCAGCCTGGAAAACGTTGGCCAGGTGCTTCCTCACCCCCCGTCCTATGGCTCTGGCATGCCCCACCGAGTCCGCAAGTGCACCATCGACAGCCACATTCTAAGCTCAAAGCTCAGCATCTTCATCAGCTATGCTGTTGACCGCATACTTCCCAACGGTGTCCCATTCCTCTGCGCCTCCTCTTCCCACTGGTGACCCTCGGTCGTGACCAACTGGACAACTCTCAACTCGTTCTTGATTGGGATGCCCAGCCTTTGTTAACGTTCGATGCTGGTCGACGGCATGCCTCCCTGAGATGGCAACCTATGATGAGCCCGTTTCAAGAGTGATCTTTTTGCCCAGACCTACGATGGCTCCCAGTGTCATCGCTACAGCCGTCAGTTACCACGAATAATGGTATGCTGCCTTTCAAATCCTCCACCACGTCAGCGTTGCAGGGGCAAGCTCGCTCCTCCACCGCAAGTCACTCTGACCACGTGGTATGCCCACCCGACCCTTCGCAGTCGTGGGCCCGCATGATCTCCACCTCCAGAAGCGTCGCCGCCGCTTGAGATCTCATAGAACTCCTGCAACTTAGACTCTTCACCAAAGGTAGCATCTTCACGTATATCAGGTGCTTCCCCCGCTTCAGTCCACGACGCAGGGGGCACGCCCCGAAGCAGCAGACGAAGCAACGCTTCGTAATCCTCCTGGGCCAGATTGACCCATCTTCCTTCGAT